GTCTTCAAACCTATGTGTAAGTGTTATTAATCTTATTGTTATTTAGTTTATTTTCTCAACTATTTCTCATTCTTGCCATGTTAAATTATTTCTTCTGTCTCTTCCATGCATGCAGTCCGAGTGGTGTGTGCGCCCCAGCGTCTACCATTTGATGTCTTTAGAGAGTGGGATAATTTTTCTCCCTGTCTGTTGACACCAGTGGAGACCATCTGTTGTGCTTTGCTATCTCCGTGGGTGACCAATGCCCATTTGGTCTAATATTTAGCTCTACATGATTTTTAAATGGCCGCATTACAGGAGAACCAAACTGTCAGGCTTCCTGGTTGCTTAGGACTAGGGATGAGCTTCGCGTTCGAGTCGAACCTATGTTCAAGTCGAACATAGCATGTTCGAGCGTTCGCCGAACATTATGGGATGTTCGGCTCATCCCTATTTAGGACTAAGAGGATCAGCCTCTTTCTCTCTCCCCCTTTTCCACATCACTGCTGTGATGTGTGACATGAGCTGGCACTGAACGTCCAACTCCCTGGTTTAGCTAGGGAAATCTGCACGTGCGCCCGATGGGCCTGTCTGCACATGTGCGGCATGACCTTGCACACAGACCACCTATAAGATTGCGATCTAATGTCATGTGACCATGACATCATGGCAGGGACTGGGTATATATATATATCAGGATCTCTGCTGGCCAATGGCAGACCAGCGGGACCAGAATTCAGGACACATCACAGCGGCTTTCTCTAGATGAAGTAGAACAACATACTACGGTATATTGGACCCTGATGTATATACATTGGTGCATGCTAACTAAGTCATGTATAGGTTCTGGTGTGTACCGGCTGGTTCCGACCCAATACACATTTTTGTGCAGCGTGTTGTAGCTAACCAGGATTCCTAATCATAAGTGAGGCAGTTTCTCAATTGGTTGATCCTATGAATTGCATCCATCCATTAGGGTACATGTAACCTTAGAGAGACATCTATTATTGTGATTACAATCCCTTTCAGTCATCCTTAACAGTTACTTTGTATTTGCTTTACAAAGAGTTTGTAGTGTGTATATGCTACCATAAGATCCATACCAGTATTTAATCAAATAGTCAATAACCAACAGTTAACACAATTTGGTTATATGGTTTTCAAGAACTTTGTTATTTTCCAATGATTAGCCCACCCAGATATATTTCTCATCAGTGATTAGTGGGCCCCTTTTTACATTTTTTCATATTATAGACTTTCTTAATCAGGCTCTATGCACTTATCCAATGTCATATCATTTCTTAGTCAGTCTCTATTCACTTATTTTGTGCCACTAATTTCGTGCCACATTATGTTCTTTTCTATAGACACTTTAAACAGTGTTCCCGGCATTCTATTGCCTGTCTTACCCTATCACGGTCCCCAAGTGGGGGGCGGTTTGAGGCTCCTTTAAACCTGTGGACCCGCATTGGAGGTTTCAAATATATCAGCAACTAACTATAACTATAACTTATTTCAGTGAACTCATCTCCTGATGAAGCCACAAATGTGTTGAGAATTCAGGACCCACAAAAATCTAACATTGACCATCATTCTGTAATGGACATTTATAACAGCAAAAGATCATTTTCAAAGCATAGATAGAACAGATAATTAGCATATCTAGACGTCCGTCCTGGCGGGGTTCTTTTTTATCACTACATGTTTGGTTTTATCTTTATTTTATATGCACCTTCAAGTATTGCGTATCTGTATTTCTTTTAAAGAACAATAATAAATATGAAATGTTTTTAAAAAGTCTGCTTTGGCACCATCCCATGAATATTGACTAATAGCCCCTTTTTTCATTTTCTATGAAAATTCTGGATACACTACTCCAAACTGTTGTTTCCAATGTAGTATGTAGGGTGAGATATTCATGGTTCACACACCTAGCGATTACTCACATTAACTTTTTAGTAAATAAAGAGGCAGAATAAATATCACATCACTCTCCAAGGACATGGGTGATATTCATTATAAGGCACTATGGTCCATGCCTAGGGCAGTATGACTAGAGAGATAAACCATTAATTATTTTGACCTTCCAGAAACAGAAAAGAAGGAGGGGCGCAGAAGATCCAATACATCAGGGGTGGGCAATTCATTTTCTCAAGGGGCCACATGAGAAACTAGGACTGTTGTGGAAGGTCGAACCAACAGGCTCAACGTAATTCTGCTCAATATTATTTTTATTGCTTTATACAGTAAAAAGCAGTAAATTATACGGAGTTGATAAAGTCCCCATTAGGGTGCCCCCTTACATTGTTTGCCCCCATTAGGGGGTGTTTTTACACATTCTATTGTTTTACAAAAAAATGAAACAGATCTTAAGATACTATAAATTATCAATTAAGGGAATAAAAGACATGTATAAAGCTTATATTTATTTATTGCTTATTTTTATGATTAGGGCTGTGTCAGGGTACCCCAAGACACTGAACAGAGAGAAACGAGCATAGTAAGGAATTGGACATGGACAAGATGTCTTTCCACTGCACAGTTTTTGAAGCATGTACCTACCTAGAGGCTGGTTGATTTAGACAAAGAAACAGGAAGGAGGAAGAAAGATCATCGTAGGGTTAAAGCTGGGATTAGAAAAGAAAAACTTCACAGGCATAAGTTTTGTTCTTCATAAACATGCGCAATAGTGAATTATGTTTATCGTACCTGATTATACAAGTTCTGTAATTTTTTTTTACTCTTGCAATCAATATAAACATACTGCTTACAAATAGCCATAGTGTGCAGTTTGCACATAGAGCCTGCCAGTAAATACAGTAGATATGCACAACTTCAGGTAAGTACATGCTTGTGACAAAATGGGATGACAACGTATCAATTCACGCTTTATTTTGTAGGCTACTTCAGTAAAGGGTTATTAGAAAATGAAAAGCTATATTTTTTGTTATCAGTATGACATGATGTCATCAATGTTACAATGGGGTCTATTCACGAAGCAGCCGAAGGACTTCACTTCAGGTCAGTCTTTCACTCGGCTGCCTACGGCAGCTTAGTGAATAGACCCCAATGTGTCATCAAGAACAATGTATCATCAAGTTAATGGTGCTGGACTTTTAATTATTTATTCATATGATTAATATTATTTAATGCTGGGTAGGAAGTACAGTCAGTTTGATGTGGATGACGTGGCCAACATACACTTGTTTCAGGTCAGTCTCTGGATGGGTGGGTCCCTGGCACTGCCAGATGGCTACGGCGAAGATCTGGCTCTCCTCAAAAGGAAAAGGGCTGTGTTTATGGAGGTGAAAATGGTGGGGCCACTAGAGCTGAGTGGCTTTGATAGCCAGAATGGGAACAGTTTTGGGTGTATCCACTATGGGTGGTTGGTGGCTAGTACAGTGGTATAGGACATGGTACACCTCCTTCCCCCATAAGCAATGAGCTGTGTTTTTCTTGGCACTCATCAGGGACCTAAGTGCTGGAAACGTTTTTCTACAGTGTATATTCTGTTTGGAATGTTAATTTTATATAAATTGCTGTGGCCAGTTTAAAAAAAAATAAAGGTACTTGTTGAAAAATGTCAGTGTTCCTGTTTTTATTTCAGGTGGGCTGTGAGGTCTACTTATACTCCCCGCTGTGTAACCTGTAATGGATGGAGCCCTGCCTGGTAATTACAGGTGGCACTTCATCTCGCTTTTGACATCTAAGTTAGGTTACCCAGCAGCAGGCTTCCCCACTGCTTATGTAACCTAACATAGTGAGGCAAGAGCTGCAACAGCCTCTACTCTATTTTAGAGGCTTGAGCTCTGTGGATGGTTTGGACCAATGGCAGAGCGGCATTGGTCCAAGCTGTCCAATCAATAAAAAGAAAACAAAAACATTGAGGACATCGATCTTGATGCCTCACCAGTAACGAGCAAGTGAGAGACAGGGAGGCTCCTCCATGTTTCCTCCCTCCCTCCTCCACACATTGCTTGGTGACCGGGTTGGGGGCGGGGCTTCGGCAGATTGGGGACGGGGCTTTGGCGTGCTGGGGTGGGGTGGGGCGTGCCTCACCCAGCACGGAAGATACCGCACGTCACTGCAGCAGGTCTGCTTCTTGTTGATACAACCTTTGCTTCTTCAAATTTTTCATGAGGAAATGTGAAATACTTGTGTAAAAATGTGTTTCTGCCTCAAAATGTGCTCTTTCAATTTACCATATAAATACTTTTTTGAAGCATCGCAAAATGTTGAACCAAATCAAAATATGTTATTAGGAAACCAGCTAGGTTTGAGGTGCGGGCATTCTCTATCATGTAGGTATTAAAGCATAAGATTGAAAGCAGAGATCAAAATGCATAGACACAGTTACAAATGACAAGTTTGCCCTAATACACTTTCTACGTGCAGTCCAGGGATGCACAATCTGTCTAGTTTACTTTGTAAGAGATTTGAAGACACTTGTCTGGGCATAGGGAGTGAGGACTGCTAAGAGAAGCCTACTAACCTTCCCCAGAAATTTGATTTGCTTGATCATTCATCAAAAGTTGATCAAAAGCAGTTCTCAGGTTTGTGCCCATGCTTTTTAATACAGAACAGATCTTTGAGATTATGATAGACAAAAAAGGTGTACAGTATAACTGCATCACTAATACTTTATTCTTTTCCTCTTTATAATGTATATGAATAAATAAAAGGATATTTACCCATATTCAGTGATGGGCAAGAAGAACAACAAAATGGGTTTGCAATATAAGCTTATACAAATTAAAAAAAAATAATAAAGCAGTATACACATCATTCAAGCAACTCTAACAAAATATGGGTGTCACAGTCGTATCCAAAGTCCTCCAAAATCCAAAGAATCATTTGCAAGTCTCCATTTTTTTTTAAACTTACAGTCAGTCTATGAGTATTTCATACAATCTGATCAAAGTTTAGTTTTTGTAAAAATCCACATGGCCTTCTGAGCAGCTTCGTAAAGGTTGTTGACTTTACACTGTGAAAATATCCAAATTTCTTGAAACATAGTCCACCAAACACCAAAAAAATCTAAGCATGAAATGATAGTGTGCCGAAGAAGCACGCCTGTATCCTTTCCAGTGAACCATTTTCTTGTTTCTGTAAGTGGAAAAATGCCCCGTGCATTTGTAGCATTAATCAGGCTATTACTGCAGGGGTTCACTAATATTTAACAGTTTAAAAGCATCTACAGGAAAAAATCTGGTTACAGTCCATGTATTCTCCTTTTCTCCTCAGCATATTTGTTGCATATTGACAAAAAGCATTTGCATATAAGGATCAGTCTCCATTAATGATATAAAGCCACACAGCAGAAAAAAAAGCTGTTAAGCGGTGGTCTGTTGTATACCACTAGATCAGAGATCGCAGTTAGAAAACCACTTATTTTATTGCAAACTTCTCTTACAGAAAGGGCTGGTTCTTTTATAGCCTTTGTCAGAGGGTCCGCATTGCATCCTGGGAAGTGTAGTCTTGTCTTTAGTGCCTTGCAGAATTACTTAAATAAGAAGCCATGCAACTGATCTACACTTATACCCAGAATCTTACGGGGCCTGTGACTCTTTGTCCAAAGTGTAGACCTCTGTTCCATTCAAGTCTGATCCAGCCATTCTGCCCTTTTTGGAGCCTTACATGTATGCACATCGACTGTCTCTTCACATTCCTTACACCGCACTGCACAACACCAGTGGAATTTACACTCGCATTTGGTGGTTCGGGTGACACGAGTGGTGTCATAGCCTCTACCACAGCACATCACTTCACAGCCGTCAGTCCCTCGGGAGACTTTGTCACATACTCTTCCTGCAGTGCCCAATGAACCTACAAAACAGCAAATTGCAATGTGTTACAAAAAGTGATGAAAGATGACTACAAACTGACTCAAACTATACAAAAAAAATGGGTAGCTTCTAACAGATCAAGCTGCGCACAATTTCGAAACATTTGTCCATAACCTCAAAGTATTATTCAAAATTCTTAACAGTCTTTTCTATTTCCTTTGGAAAGGTACAAGGACAAACTTAAACCTCCCACTCTAAAGACCAAAATACCGTAATAGGCCGTCATTTTAATTTCTTTTCCCTCTTATATTGCTAATCACCTCAGATACCCTATTTTGTGGCCTGCCCTTTCTACTCTGTCTTCTTAACCTTCCTAACTGCCAACATTGCTTATAACTATTTGCTGTTATTCCTTGATGGAAGATTAAAATCTTACTCCAGTTGACTTGGGTTTGGAAAATGGCCAAAAAAGTAATCACTATGATGGTTTGATTTGCAAAGTGTTCTTATTGTTCTTTACTGCCAGTTCTGCAGTTATTCCTAGAAGAATTTCTTTGGTTGTGTTAACTAGTAATACACGAGGGCACATTCATGAAAATCAATTACTAAACCTAATGGCCCTTTTGCTATAGTATAAATTATTGTTTGCTGTCCCCTTTAATTAAAATTAGTTTTGGATAAAAATGGGAAGGGGTAAAATGTATTTATTCATTTTTTGCTGTGTCCTTTTGGGGATATTTCTTCTCACGTTCTGTCCCAGAGACGGAACAGGAAATGAGAGGAAATTGCTGCTAAGTAATTTCATTTCCTGTTTTGGTGACAACTAAAAACATATTGGATTTCCCACCACTTTCTGCTTGGCAACAATAGTCATGAGGGCAAATATACAGAGTAAATATTCCTATTCGGGACACAAACACCTATGAAAGCTTTACAGCCTTTAAAGCTTTAAATTCTCACCCCATCTAAAACTAAAAAGGAACATTTTGGCTATACATACACTTTACATTTATCTAAAGCACAAAAGTAAGCTTACCACAAATGGGGTAAAGCAACTGCTCCAATGGCTTTACCTAAAGGGGACCAATCACCATTGGGCCTTATCAAAGAAACGGAATATTACACTGGTGTATTAGCTTGTGAATTGAGCCTATGGTGTTTGTAATTAAGGCACAACTTCCCACAATTCAGTTTAAAAATGATGTAATAAGGTCAACATGAATGTCTCAAACACAGAAAAAGGTATGAACCTGCAATATAATTTGTTAAAATGCATGATTGTAGTTCACTTTCAGAGTTAATAAATGCTGCTATAATTTGTGTTAAGTGTAATATGCTTGTTCTTTACTGCTGCCTAACTTACAAACTAGATCATTTACTGATGCTAAACCAAAACGATGGAGCTTTATTTTATATCTAAAGTTTTTTCACATCTAGATCTGGCATCAGGTTAAATCACATGAGATGAAAAGAACTATATAAAACACCACATTTGGTACCAGTAGGAAATAGAAAGAATTTGAAATAACAATTTGAAATAGAAAGAAATGTACTCTGCAAAGTAAGATCTGATGGCATCATTAACATGCAAACCTGTTTTGGTTTATCCTGTTGGTGGTATATCCTGCCTGTTCAAGGTTTGTGGAACACCAAACAAATGTAGGAATTCCCCAGGCCAAACTGTTTGTAACTATAATGCACTGCATGGCCTTTGAATATACCTCACCTGGTCTAGAAGGACCAATAATGGGGGCTTTTTTAGGTGCCCGACCCTCACTATAGAGTTGGGTTCCCAGCAGCCATTTGTCATTGTGTGTTACAGTAGTTTAGTAGCGGATACAGAAATGTAGTTGCTCTACAGCGCTTTACTGCTAAATTGCAATGTGGTAGGCTACATATTCTTCCCTCCTTTTTAGGACTACTTTTTGTATGAGTACAGTATACTGTACTGTATACTCTCCTTAGATTTAATTATTTGTGACTATTGCTCATTTCACTGTTAAGTTTAATCTGGTGCACAAATGAGCCCTACAGCCTTATGATAATTTAGCCGTAGATGCAAAGATGAATTGTGGAAATGCTAATAGGACAATCGAGCAGTATAGATTCAGAAAGAAAGAGTTAGACAGGGAGTTATTTATGTGTCTGAGAAGCTTTTTTAAAACCTTAGGCTGCATGCTTTTACATATTTCAGTGTGTGACATCACTGCTTCCTGATAAAGCAAAGGGGAAATCCCTCCTGGAACACATTTGACTCAACAGAAATAAAAGTGCCTGATTGATGTACTATACGTAAGCTGTTATTTCAACTGGAAAAGCTGTACTTGTGATAGATAATTGATTTTATGATATCTAGTCTTGGTCAACTAGTTTTGGATTTCTCCAGGTATGCCTGCTGTGACATGCTCGACATTTCACATTCTGTTTTACATGACAAAATACCCCTTGAAATATATTTGCTTAAAGTAAAAGAATAAAGCAATGCGCAAACTTTTGGCGCTATAAAAAGTCCTGTATAATAATAAAGGTTGATTGCCACTTCCTAGTAAAACATGTACATCAGCAGGATTGTGGCTCAGTTAGTAAGTTAGCTTCACAGCTGAGATCTGATACCCACATGACTTATTTCCCCTGGACTGGATGTCATCTCTAAATGGCTTCACATTCTTTTGATAGAGAACCCCTTTTCATCTTTCTCTGTGGCCTGACTCATCTCCCTCCAGCAACTGGAAGAGTGAAAGGATTAAATGGCCAATAAAACCGCTCCCATGGGCTACATGCTACATGCAAGATGATTTGAAAAACTATCTTCTCCTTAGCAAAGTGACCTTTTGTTGAGCTTAACTGTTGTCTTTGACCTTTTCCTGTCATCAGCTTCTTAAGTCCAACCTATCAATTGATCCTGCCATTTCAGAACAAATGGTCCTATAGTTGTTAATGGCAATTTGCTCTTTGCAGGTAAGTTCAACTTTAGTTTAGCAAATGAGGTAAAGCTCTGCTGACATCCATCATATAATCATGTGCAAGCTATCATTCTAATTATGTGCAAAATACTATTTTTTTTCCCGTGGGCATGATTATTCTTTGCAAAGTTAACTTTCACCACATTCACCAAGTTGAGGGAAACTTTCCCTGCAAAGCACAAATTCTCTTGCAAAGTGAACTGCTTATTTGCCTTTAGTAAGTCAGCCTTACAATCACCAATCTTACTGTGAAGATCATATCAAATGAAAGACCAACAAGGCTCTGATGCATTTTGCACTTGTGGAAGAAAAATGCCTTTGCTAAACTTTCCTTTTTAAAATTCTAGTCGCTTACTGTTTTTGCTGATCCAAAAGCTTAAAGCATAAAATCCCTGTCACACTAGTGATCCTGTTGCTGGTTAGAACTCATCAACAACAGGAATGCTAAAATATCCAGGTTAAACACTCACCTGCTTGCATGTGTCCCTTCAAAGCCAGCTGGATCAGTAAGGCATTGCTCCTTTGCTGATAATAATGCCACAGCTACACTGTTAGCATTTCAGCCAATTTAAAGGAATCAGATGAAATCATACAGTGGGTGGTCTCTTGGCTTCACAAAAGTTGATGTTATTTACCTATTTTACTCTTATGGACACAATAGACCACCTCCACCTGAAACGCCTTGAAGTTAGAACCACTCCAACTATTAATACGCCATCAAAACTGTATTCAAATTGTACTTGCTCTGTATATGAAATGATTTAGTATGCTTTATAGGCTGTTACTATTCTTTAAGGAGTGGTATTGGGAGGTTGTCCATCAACCGGGGTTTACATACCCAGCGTAAAAGTTACTACATAATGAAGCGATACCTAAAATGTTATTAGCTTTGGGTGATTTATTGAATACAAGTTAATAAAGCTTTTTTATTTTAAATATTTTTCTTTGGCTGCTGTCATTAACTGGCATGCAACATTAACTAGTTGACATCCGCGGTGTTAAACCCCCTTCCCATCCAGGCCATTTTTCAGTATTCAGCGCTGCGGTACTTTGACTGACATTTATTCCGTCATGCAGCGCTGTACTGAAATGAATTTTATACCCTTTTTTGGGGACAGATAGAGCTTTCTTTTGGTGGTATTTATTCACCACTGGGGGTTTTATTTTTTTACTATATTAAGGAAAAATTACCGAAATTTTTTTAAAAAAACAGTTTCCCCTATATTAAATGATAAAACATTTATTATTACCCAATTTTTTGGTAAAATATAAAAGATGGGGTCACGTCGGGTAAAAAGATTTTAATTTCACATTTGCTATACTTTCATAGTACACAATACATATACTTATATTCAACCACTTCACTTCCTGACTTATATATTAGCAAAAAGTAAGGAGGTATACAGTGTGAGTGACATTTAAAGAAATAGCTTTAAAGGAGATCTATAAGGCGAGTGATTTCCACTCATCCTCATAGTTAGAGCCGACCTGTGACAAAGAAGCTGTCACAGGTCGGCTCTATTGATCGGGAAGTGAGCAGAAACATGCACTGATCTGCTCACTAATTGATCGTCTCCCTGCAGTGATCGGTGACTGTCAGTCACCGCTCCTCGCAGGGATTCCCCCCTCTCCTCTGACTGGAGGAACGGACAGGGGAGGGCACTGCTGGCTCTGCCTCTAGAAAGGCAGAGCCAGCTGTCACTCACGCAGCTGGGCGGATCTCGACAGTAATGTCAGGACCCGTCCTGGCTGCAGCGCTCACAGTATATTGCGGGCAATAGCCCACAATATACTGAGCTTTGGGTCATGACAGGACGTTAGTATATGTCTTCCCATGACTCTAAAGAGAACTATGGGGAAAAACACTTACCCCATAGTTCTCTTTTAAGCTATTAGAACATTTACTACACAGGTACCAGTCAATCTTCTCTACCTAGTATAATTGATGTGTAGAGAGGGGCAAACTTTAAAATTTGCTCTTTATCCGAATTTACTGGCAGGCAAATTGGGTAGATTCTGGTCAGACGTTGGTTTGGGAGCACTGAGCCACTTTAATCTCTTACAGTAAGGTTTTTTTTGGCTCAGTAAACCTAGGATGCAAAAGATACAAAAATCACTTCCAACATTCAGGCTAGGTAGTGTATGAAAATGAGTGCTTCCAGATTAAGAAGTTTTCTTTTTTGCATGTACATACCTATAGTGCTTATACACTTATTAGAACTTATATTATTCTGCACCTCCTCCCACACCCCCACAATTTCATAATATGCCTAGCACCACACATCGCTAAGAGGAATGTCAGGATTAAAAAAAAAAATAAACTATTGCAGTGGGGCTACCCACATGCTGCAAGGGTTAACTGCTGGGGGAGAAAATAAAAAAAGATATACTGACCTGATCCTAGGTCCCACCTGGCTGCTAGACAAGTCCCCACAGTCTCTTCTCCCCTGGGCTCTAGCGGTTTAGGAACCCCTGAAGTCATCATGTCTATTGCAGGTTCATTGACTTGCATTAGATGTGAGGTTGCTAAGGAACAATCCACAGCTGGAGCAGAGGTAGGGAGAGGTGAGCGATGACTGCCACAGGACTTAGGATCAGGTGAGTATATGTTCTTTATTCTGGCCCCTAGACTAAAAGGAGCAGTTAACCCTTCCAGTGAGGGGGTAGCCCCACTGCAAGGGTTAGTTTTATAAAAACCTAGAGTTCTTCTTTAAATGTTCTAAATTTTGAAAAGTTGTAACTTCATTTGTGTGCCTGTTTGCTTCAATAGAAAGCCTGACTGCAGACTGACAAAGAGGGTGTATAAAAGAATACGTGAACTAAACGTGTTAATAAACATACAATATAAAAGCCTCTTTAAAATAACTTTTTTTTAACAAATAATTACTTTGGTTTGTCAGGTTTTTTGGGGAAAAAGAAGACTCATTGAGATAATGATGAAACGGTAAAAACATACATAAAAAGTGATATAGATCTCATACCTGATGTACCAAAGCAGGTTTTAACTGATTACGTTCAACAGAGGAAACATCAGACAACAATGTTTTGGCTGCTAAAAGATCAAACACGACTGCTATGTTTTGCATGTTACTGCAGTAGCATTTAGCTGGAGGGCATATACAGCTCTTCAAGAACTGTTTCTTTACCCAAAGGAGACAACTGATCTTTACCTGCAGACTTGTCCATCACACAGTAATCAGGAGAATTCTCAAAGTAGACAAGGTCCTTTCTTGTGGGTTTTCTGAAGTCTTGATTGGCTACTGTGAAGCTAGTACCATCTTGATTCATGGTGACCTGGATTGCCCCGTTGTATTTCCTCCTGAGATAGTCCCCTGTTTTTCGAAAATCTGACATGGCTCGCCAACAAGTCCTTAATGTGCATGACCCACTGACCCCATGGCACTTACATTCAAGCTTCATAAAACGTTTTACTGCCTGCAGGTAAGAAGAGAGGGATTACTAAGTAACATTTACACAGAGATACAGCTTTCTAAGCACGTATTACACATACAGTACTATGTCCTTCATAACGTCATCTCAGAAGTTCATTGAGTGTGACCATAAAAAAAAGAGAAAAGAATTGCAAGCTCAAAACCTTTAATCTGTAGTAGAAAAAAAAATCACAAAGCATGGTTCAATTTGTCTTAACAGAGAAAAACCCTTCCTGCCCCGCAAATCAATTGGATATTATCACTGAATCAGCATTTTATTATGTGTGTCTTACATATCATACATATTTTGCATTTTTAGAAATGTGCTTAAACCTTTTTAAGGCAATTAGCTGAATCTGTTAGAGACAGTTACTCTGTAATAGACAATACAATTTTTTCATAACTTCTACTGTAAGGAACCCTATCTGTATGCAGAGGTTACATAGTTACATAGTATTTGAGGTTGAATAAAGACACAAGTGCATCAAAATCTCTTTTTTTTTTCTAGTTGCAAGAAAAGCCCTTGTGTCTTTGAGGGTAACCTTCGAATTTAGTTCCACTTTTGCAGTAAAACTGGGATAACACCTACTTTATATTTGTTACATATGTGTTCTCATTCACACAACATAACTTAAAAAAATGAACATTCCTACTTGTGCTCTATACTTGCTTACAATTTCCTACCCAGCTTTCCCTCTGTGTAATGTTAAGGAGGGGACTGGAGGGAGTTGTGGGAAGCTCTGTTTACTCTCATTAACTCTGTCTGTATTGTGGTGCCAAATTTCATTATTGGTTGTGAACTATATTTGAACACTGTCTTAACAAATGGTATAAGACTTGAACAAGAATTGTATTATAATGAAAAGAAATTCAGTCTGAAAGTGAAAAGTAAAGGGATAAACTAAGGGACAAACTTTTCAGAGTAGCCTGGAAATCTGCACAAAGGCCTGCACCAAAGAAACAGCTAAGTAAGAAATAAAGTAGTAGTAAGTAGTAAATATATTTCTAAAAATGATTATTAGGTATGTTGTGTGTCTAGGATCATATAACAAACATTTATTGGGGTTTTCTCAAATTTGACTGCAAAGGTGGAAATACACTTTACTGTTATCTTTTCATCATAAAACTCTTCAATGCTCCTTACTAATTTAGTTGCCCTTCTCTGCACCCTTTTCAGTTCCAGGACACCCTTTTTGCAAACTGGTATCCACCACATTCAAGATGCGGTTGTATTGCTTTATACAGTGCCAAGGTTATGTATTTTTCTCTTGGGTTTATACCTCTTTTAATTGTAAGAAACCTGCCCTAAGCAGTCCCTAGTCTGAATTTGGTGTCACAGCTGGACTACAGCCAGCCTGAGCTCTAATTGTTAGTTCTACTTTTTAATGTTTTTCCTTAAGCTCAGTTTTATTGTTTGCTTCTGCCTGCTGTTGGGCAGTACTCCTGGCAATAGTGTGAGAAGATATAACATTTAAGGATTATAAATATATGTCTCCCTCGCCAAACACTTGAATATTTATTGCCAATGGTGCATTCCAGTGGTGCAAGATATACATAGTTTGGGTGACCTTCTGGAAACTCTGTTTCCTTGCAGGCCCTGCCTGGTGAGGAGGTGTGTGTTGCTGCATTCTTTGCTCCCAGGCCTGTTGCCTAGGGAGGGTGTACATTCAAAGGAAAGGCCATTGCCTGGGCCTGGAAGCTTCCTGCTGTCCTGCTTGAGCGTATCTAAGGCCAGATACTTCCAGGATTGAGGTGGGGACTTCACTGCTAGAGTGTGTCTGGAAGAACTGATTATAAGCTGGGGACATTGTACTAGTGGCTTATGCCAGGTGTGCAGGTGCTATTGGAAAAAGGTTCTCTCTTCTGTACAGACTGTAAGTAGGGTTTGGAGTCTGCCTTTTTCTGTTCTTTTGGAAACCTGTGTCCTAAACAACCTGCAAGAACTATATTGCGCTAGATAGTTTTGTACAAAATTATACCTTGAATCCCAATTTTAGTTAAAAAAACTTAACAGTAATAGCCCCAAAACGAAACTTTGGAAAACGTTACATGCAACTTTTGACCATTTAAAGTACAACTCTGGGTGTTAACTTAAAGCCAGTCTATTTAAAAAAAATGCCTTTTTTAAACATTGGTTTAAAAACAGTCCAGATACAATACATCAGCCACCTCTCTGTCCAAGTTTGTGCATATTTCCCCATAAAAAAGTAGAATTGTTTGCAAACATCTGTTGTTCATAAATGTATGCTATCACTTATGATATTATTCTTTATCTTATACACTTCTATGTGGCTCCTTTGAAACCCCTTAAAATATATTTTCTACACAGGCAGTTAAACGTACAAGTCTAGAGTTACAGGGCAAAGGCCCACATTTCTGTCCTTGCAGCTGGGCGTTTAGGCCAGATGATTTGTTCTTAGTGATATTCTTTTGGGGGTGGAATTTGTGATTGCAGTGGAGGGAGGTGGATGAGGAAGATTTTGGTTTGAGAAAATTGTGCTTTAAAATATTTGGTCTGGGTGGGAAGATAGAAGGTTTTTGCTTATAGGTTGACTGTATGGATGCGGGGGAAGTAATCTTAAAATCTGCTTTAAGTAAGCGGGGATGTACATTATGCCTGAACGCTGTACTCTATGCTGTGTGTTAACTAGCAGTCATTTTGGTGTCTCCTCTCCAATTGTAGCACCCAGGTGCTGTTCGGCCGGCTCGATGCTGATTGGGCGGGAAGCTAAATCTTCCTCTGACTGGAAGTTCCGGTATCGGGGAAGGTATCGGAGCATTTGGACGAGTACTCGCCCAAATACTCGGTTTTGGCACCTATACTAGTATCGGTATCGGTGCATCCCTAATTAAGAGTCCAACATGAATGTATGCTCAGACACAAAAGGTACAAAAAAACAAAACAAAAAAAATTAAACAAGACTCGATAGACACAGGGTTATTCACAAAAGGGTGCAGAGTTTGGAGATGGCAGGAGAAGTGAACAATCTAGGACAACATAGCTGATTTGAAAAACATTATTCAATTCAGCTCACTTTCCAGTTCAGCTATGTTGTCCTAGATTGTTCACTTCTCCTGCCTTTTCCAAACTCGTACATCCTTTTGTGAAAAACCCCATTAGTGTCTGTCAAGGTTCTCATTCATCCAGGTCAAGGTATATCTGTAAAAAATAAGTCAAGGCAACTGGACTTGCTGTATTTTTCTTGAAGACATTTCACTGGTCATCCAACGAGAAAGCTGGTATGCCACCACTCTTCTGTGTTTCTATGTAAATACAATTGTGAGTTTCAGCAACTGTATATAGTAGCACCTCTGATTGAATTGCATTGCATTTCAAGAGATACAATATTCTTGCAGTGGATTACTGGATATTTAATTTATTTTAGGTGATAAGCAAAATACATGTATGACTGTAAGAATGAGCAAGCGAGTTTACTAACTATATACATGTTGCTGCTCAATATAGGTTATACACTCACTAGTATTACTTACAGCAAAAACAACATATTTATTGGACATTGTACAACTAATAAGTAATGTCAGATGGAAGTTCTATGTTAATTGTTCATGTAAACACAAAAAATCTTTAGCTTTTTTTTTCTTGGAGTCAATAGTTGTCTGCTTGGTCCCTTTTCACTGTTTAATCTGTGAGGTTTTTGTGATTGTTCAAGTAAAGGAGTACATTTGTTTTTGCTTTTATTCTTGTTAAAAAATTAACTACAGCTTTTTTCCATAAAGAACTGTTTAATGCAATAACAAAAGGCTTTATGGGTTCATAAATAAACGGTTATTTCCACAGAGTGGGATGCAAATGAAAAATAAATATGGCTCTAGCTAAAACTATGGATTGCTCTGGTAACCATTAATAATTAGTGAAATTATGAATGACAAAGCTATTGTATTAGGAAAGCCAGGAATCTAAAATATCCAATTTGCAGCTGAAACTACAATATGGGCATATGAAATCTGGCAGATTAATGTCTCCCATAACCTCCCTCCTCTTTAGATGTTATCTTATGACTCCCTTTGAAACCATAACTGTTTATTCTCTTTAAGCTAGAGGACCATAAATTACCCAGCATGGAAATATATTTATGGCACAAAATATTTCTGCTTTAACCTCCAGTGGTTTCTTTCCAAACAACGTTTATCGTTTAAAAAGTTTAGATATGTTCTCCCCAGATTGGGACGCATCTACACATCTGGAACAAGGAAGGGGCGATGTTTTGTTATGTACTTAGTCAGTGGAGAGAAATTACAAGCTTGATGAGCCATTTGGTTTAACTCCTAGATAAATCTGCTAAACCGAGTATTCATCACTATTGATCATACAAGATGATTTATCCACTTTGTGAAACATTCCTGATCACTGTTTACTTAGGGAATACAATTTTCACTTAAATGATCTTTAAGATTTAGAGGGACTCACCATCCTTCCAACACGGTTATTGTGCAAGTTCATCAAGGCTCGAGCATCCCTTACTCTTCTTTCCTTGGCATCAACAAAGTCCTTGGCAAATTCAATCCCAAAATCGATGTTGTCACTACATCCTCCCCAGTCAAAGTCTCCTTTCTTGTCCTTGGATCGACCCCTTTTTTTTGGGTCACAGCTGCAGGACTTTAGTTCACCTTGGCTGCAAGCTCTAGTGATGGCAAAAACCACACCAGCATAGGAAATGGCATAGACAAATGCTGCTTCTCGACTACCTGCAAAAAACCAGAAAGTCTAGTTACTTTAAGGCATTGACAATTGGTCAATTAAAGATTGATTATTTTTTGTATTATTAAAATAAAAAAAGTACTGAATTAAAAAAAAAAAAAGATTGATTATGGAACCTATGGTTTTTCTGGTTGACTATTTTTTCCAAGTACAATTGATTGGCTCACAAGCACTGTGTCATAGTTACATAGTTACATAGTATTTGAGGTTGAATAAAGACATTAGTCCATCAAGTCCAACCTATTAGGATCTCATTCTAGGAGTACCCGTACCCCTGTATATTACGGTCCCTTAAGAAATTGTCCAAAAGTTTCTTGAACAATTCCACATTATTTGCTGAAATCACCGCCTGTGGCAGTGAGTTCCAGACCCTAACTGATCTTACTGTGAAGAACCCCCTTCGCCCCTTGTGCTGGAATTTTTTTTCCACCAATTTTAGGTGATGGCCTCTAGTTTTTGTAACAGAGTTAATTTTAAACAGTTTATCGCTAATGTTGCTACCACCATCAGTGTCCTGCTCAATATATTCATAACAGCCTACAGTCACCTCAGGAGGGAGTGGGCTGTCATAAAAAGGCAGAGTCAAGACTTGTGGCTATGGAATGAGAACTGTAAATGGTACATGTTTTGGAAACATATTTTAATAGCATTATGGATCTTATGAATAAAGATCTGAAGGAAGAAGAGTTCTTCTTGTCCACAACAGCCAAACAGATTATTTCTTTCATTCTTCCCTATTTCTCTGCCGACCAGTTATAAACAAAAATAACTTTTAGGTTAATATCTGAATGCATGAGCCCTAAAGAAAGGGGTTTAACACACATCAATTGCACATGCATACTAAGGGCTGGAACACACACACACACACACACACACACACACACACACACATCAAAAGTTAAGCTTTTAACATGCTTTCCTAGTACCTGAAGAGCACTTCCTATCTTCCCATGTATAAAAGGCTTACTGAATTGACTGTACAATGTCATGTTGAATAAATTCATACAAATCAAATTCTTATTGGCAGATACAGCTCCACAAATGGTACCTTTATTCAACAAACAAATATTAGTGAAGCTTGGCATTTGGAGGGTTTCTCCATGGTTTCATGGTGAGAATCTTCACACAATAAATCCTGTTCAATTATCCAATCATGTGAAAAATCTAAATCAGAAACCCAATCATTTGCAAATGAAAAAAGTAATTTAATTTTTACATGCTTGGATTATTGTAGTGAATATTCACACAATTAATTGTGTGAACATTCTTAACTCCTCAGCCTCAGTGTCTTTGAAATGTTTCCTTCATCAGATGCATCTGCAGAATAAATCATGATGATGCTAACCCTTTAAAATGATTTCAGATTGTAGCAGTTAGTTAACAATTGGATGCTGCAGTCCCATTCACTTGTATAGCTCTTTTATATAAACCCCCTGTCAAGGCTAGCATCTGATGTGGATGACAACCAAGGTTTTTTTTAAGCAGTCCCTAACTACATTTCTCATACCAATCAATGACCGGTTGTTCCTTTACTTTTAAATAATTTCATAGGGGTTTAATGAAAAATCAGCAGTGCAAGTCCAACTATGCACATCTATTAATAAAAGGAACTTTTATACTTCTGTGGGCCTCTCTCTGGTCACAAAAGTATAGCACTATCAACTGAGAACCTTCATCTAATACAGTATAAAAATTGTGGATGGAGTCAAAATTCCTACTGTGATGATTAAAATTCTGTCCTGGCATATTAAGTCCACCAGCACACATCTGTAAACTTTGCTAAGCCCAATGGAGCAGTAATATTTATATAATGGTGCTCATGTATATTTCAGGGGGAAGCAACCTTTCAGGGGAAGGGAAAGAAGACAGAGGTTAGAAACAGGTAATGGAAACATCTGTTCTATGATAAAAATATATGCTTTAGAACAGTGATGGGTACATTTTCAGTAGGAGTCCACACATCACAAATGTGGAATGGCCTCTCTTGAGTGTAGTAATATGTCCTATTTGGTCCAAAATTATGGGCTTCACATAAACATGTTCTGCTGACAGAACAGTTGTCTAATGACCATAAGGATATTAACATGTGCAGCTGGATACTACTGGTTAGTGCTTAATATATTTTATTAATTTTCAAATATGTGGTCATACACAATATTTCTCTCATGAATATAATGCAATACAGCTGTGGCGCATCTTCCTATCTTCTCCTGGGGAGATTCACTCAACTGATTGGCTTTTATCTTCTACCACTGAAAATCCTCAGGAATCACATATTTTAAACGTCCCATAAATCTAGTCATGAAAAATGTCAAGACTCTCATGAACATGATAAAAAAATGTTGTTTAATTCATTGATATTTTGAAGAGTTTCGAAGAGTTGTGAAAACACAAACATGAGGGTGTCAAAACTGCTTGCCAAGACTAAGAATTACATTCAAGACCCCATGATAGGAGAGATCATTTAACAGCATGTTTTAAGAAAATTTCAAATACTTACCAAACACATAAACCACGGGGGAGGACTTGTTGACAAGCCCTATAAAATTGATACATGGATTCTTATTACCCACCCACTTATTTTTCCCCATTACACCATAAAGAACTCCCGATTATGTCTCTGAGAGGAAAAGGGTTGGCTTTACATATGGGGCACACTGGCATTGACTGGCTTTATTGCACATAAATCACCAAATAAACAGCAACACAAACATGTGACATCAGTTTAAAGTGATATTAAAGTCCAAAGGATTTTAAGCTGTTTCACATGCTGATTAAATCACTTACAATGAATGCTGCTCCTTGATGTTTAAAAGTTTTAGTTTCCTGCAGAATCAGCTGGTCCCCTGAACACTGGTCTTGACTTCATGTTTTAGAGTGACTTCTTTCTCAAGCAGAGTGCTATGCAGTCACCTTTGTGTGCGCTAGTGATCTGTGTGTGTCTCCACAAACACACAGGCACAGCAAAACAAGCTACTCCCCTCCCTCCCTGTCCCCCTCTTCTCCCTCCTCCCTTCCACAAGCTAGTAGATGAACAGTTGTTGGAGTCTGCACTGTCCTTTGATCGAGTACTGGACAGAAAGTTCAGGGAATCTGAGGTTTATTGCACATAAATCACCCAATAAACAGCAACCCAAACATGTTGGAAGCATCTGTTCAGAAACATGAAGAATTTGAGTGTTTGAGTAAAAATGTAAAGCAATGCTTTGCTGAGTAATGTATATTTGTTTTATCTGGGTTCATTATTGAAAAAAGTTTGAGTGTTTAATACTACTTTAACATGCAATACTTCTTTAAACTGATAATTAAACAATATTTCTATTGTCCAGTTCTTTACCCTTTTCATACATATATTAGAGCATTATTAGAGCAATAATTATATGTTTAACCATAGCAATGATTCACCCATGTGTTTTAGTATTAGAACCATTCCTCTGGGCAGTACAAGATGGGATCTAACTGCTGACCTATGGAGTTCATATACAACCGTTTTTTTCCCACCAGCACTGAAATCCCATGAATTTATATGGCACTGTGTTCCATTCCTTAATATAAATGAGTAAGTGACATGTTGGGGTTCATTTACTAAAAGAGTAGAGCATGTTCACCTTGGAAAGGCAATTTTCTTTTTAGCTCAGTGAATGAGGTGAAGCTGTGCAAACTTCCTCCAATCATTGAAAGAAAATCCTGTTTTGTTTTACATTTTTCTTACAGACACTTGGGTTTGCTATCCAAGGTGAATTTTTACTTAGCTTCGCCGCATTCACTGAGCTATGTGAAAAATCACTTTGCAAATTGAGCATGCAATATTCCTTTAGTAAATCAACCCTTCTGTGAATAAGTAAAGCTTAAAGCAAACCACTGTTTTGCCCATTTAGATCAAAACAACAGGTTTGCTCTACTCTCCCACCCCTAATCAGCAAATAAACACCTTTCCTTTACTCCCTACCGCTCTGTTCAGTGCTAAGAGCTGAAAATAATATCTGGTACTTCTGGGTAAGAAGGACCATGGACTAACTCTATATGATAAAGCTGGGTTAAAGGAGAACTATGGGGTCAGGGCTTTTCCCCATAGTTCTCCTTAGGGTAACGGGAGGACACAAACTAGCGTCCTCCCGTTACCCTAACCTCAGTATAGCTTGCGGTATACTTAGCTCGTGGTATACTGAGACGCCGCAGCCGGAGCGGATCCCGACATCGATGTCGAGATCCGCCCAGCTGCATGAGTGACAGCTGGCTCTGCCTATCTAGAGGCAGAGCCAGCTGTACCCGCCCCCTCCCCGTCCGTTCCGACAGTCAGCGCTGGTGGATCGGAGCGGGGAGGGGGGAATCCAGCCCCTCCCCTGTCACGGCAGAGAGCTGTGACAGGATCGAGAGGTGAGCGAACGCCGGTATATGTTCGCTCACCTCCCGATCTACTGAGCCAACCTGTGACAGTCTCATTGTCACAGGTTGGCTAGAACTATGAGGTGAGTGAAAAGCACTCACCTCATAGTTCTCCTTTAATCAGTGCTGTTCATGGCCCTACATAAGCCACAGCTCTGGAGAACTGTAGCTTACTCAGGACTTCTCTTCATCCCTTATCGGTTGCTGAATACAGCAGCAGGGAAATTAAATGATGTACATGTTGCTGGGAAGAATTAAGATACAGGGAACCTGATGCTTTTTATTTAATGAGAAAGCACAGGTTCACTTTAAAGGAGAACTATGAGATGAGTGATTTCCACTCACCTCATAGTTCTAAGCCGACCTGTGACAATGAGACTGTCACAGGTCGGCTCAGTAGATTGGGAGGTGAGGGAAAACATACCGGGTTCCCTCACCTCTCGATCCTGTCAAGGCTCTCTGCCATGACAGGGGGAGGGGCTGGATTTCCCTCTCCCCGCTCCGATCTGCCAGCGCTGACTGGCGGAACGGACTGGGGAGGGGGCGGGTACAGCTGGCTCTGCCTCTAGATAGGCAGAGCCAGCTGTCACTCACGCAGCTG